AGCCCGACGATGAACCCTAAGGTCCCGAGCCCACATCGATCTCGTTGAGTTTATGCTTTTTCCCTATGCACGTTATGTCCATTATGCTCTCCCTTAGATTTTTTCATTGCTTCATACGCTTCGTACTGTAAATACTGTACGAACTCCTTCAGTACCAAGTCCTCCTACGATACCTCAGATACCTCCTATCATACACCACCTCCAAATGTTCCGTAGGCTACGAGCAGTAGTTTACAACCGCAATTTGTCGTAGTTACAAGACGCGGTATATAAATGTATTTCCCCCCCTAAGAACCCACGTGATCGCGTTTTGCGGTTTCATCACCTTGTTGCTCGCTTGTCGACGTCTCGACGTTCAGCTCTGATCCCCAACCGAAACCCCGTGTGCGGGAGCGTGCGCGAACGGGAGAGAGCGGGAAGTTGACGTTCGCGAGCAAGGCGCGACGCGCATTTCGTCAACATCCGCCGCCTCCCGCTCACGCCCGGTGGCTCACACTTTTTGGGACTGCATACCCGCGGGCTCCCGCTGGCGCACACCTTCGCATCGAATGATGCAACAGTTTGACGTAGATTTACATCCATTTAATCATTTCCTCGGGCACTTCCTCGCACGTTGGCTCCCGCCACCTCTCGACTGCTCCCGTAATCACACGATGACGCCCGGTAGGTACCTGTTCTTCGCTCCAAACATTTTTTGCATTGCATTTACAATCGTACACGGCGTCTCTCGCCCCCACACGTCTACACACTGCCCCTCCCTGACCGACACGCACACGCCCGCGTCGCACTCCCCACGTCACACCATCGTGCCACCACCAATGCTACTGCAGCTGCCCCATCTACCACCGCCTCTCTTCCACCACCGCGGCTCTCGACTACATCACGCGTTCGCCACTACACCATCCATATCTATACAAAAGGGCTACCCCATTGAGCAAACCATACTGTACTAGCAAGAACGTAGATACATACCTTAGTCCACAGACGGCACATCCGCGGCGAGTTTCGCTCCGGACTTTGCACCCTTTGAAATGCCGCTCCAGTGCTGTATGCAGTGTCAGTACGACCGAGGAGGGTGTTCAAAACCACTTGCCTTCTTCTCTTCTGTGGTGAGCGAGTCCCACTGCTCGTCGCGTTCGCCAGATGTAAGGCAGAGTTTGGCCTTAACTTGGCCATCGCGCGTAACCAAGTCTCTATACCAGAGATTCCTGTTCGAGCAGTGAGCTATATCCAGAGTAGGTAAGAACGGTCGTACCTGGGTGCTTTGGAGTTGCTCGGCCTGACGATCTTGCGCTGCGTTGACAACGACTCGGTTCAGTTCATGCATACAATCAATGGGTCAAAGACGTACATCGGCACTCGTCGATGGCATGACGGACGGACCCGGTGCAGCAGGCGCCAAGTCGTGAGATTCACAGAGACTGCTTGCAGTCGGGATAGATGGTGCGACCGTGTCGCTCGCACGCGTCTCATCCGGGAGATCTAGAGGCGTGAAGATCGCATTGTATTGACCAGATATATGAACGGAACGTACCTGTCGAGGGTTGAGGCGATGCTTGCTGCGGTCGCGTGCGAGACTGTGCCTTGAGCGTAGGAAATCGAGGCGCTTTTGGCACATTGTTCCTGAGCGATGTCAGTATATACTTCAATGAGTCTGCGAGGTGTACCGACAACGGGTTTTGCATCTGTTGAATGGTGAGTTTACGATCCACAGTTAGTGCCAAAAGACGTACTGGAGGGGGAGTTGCCTTGCGAGCAGGTGCTGTTTCGTCAGACGTAGGGAGAGCCGGGCTTGTAGTTTGCACCCGATTACTAGTTGATCGAGTATCCTGCGTGAGAAAAAGGGAGATGGGCGAAAGCGTCGGCACTTTTGGAGAGACTGCGCTCGACAATGTACTAGCGGGTGGCGTCGACGTGCAGGCAGAAGGTGTCGAGACAGATGGCGGGGCACAAGAAGATGATTGTACTGCAGCTGGAGAGTGTGACAAGAAAAGCGGGAGCTCGATCGCGGGCAAGAGAGACGATGGCGTGGAAGCAGACGGCGAGACTGGGGCGGTAGATGATACAGACTCCCTCAGACTCGGGGCTGGGGTGGAGGACTTGGATCCGAGCTTCTGGCGCTTTGCTTGTGGCGTATCGCTGTCCTTTGTGCCGCGAGAGCGTTTCATGCTGCGCTCGTCTGTCGTGCCATCTTCGATCTTGACCGAAGTCTTCAAGTAGTCGCGCTTCCAGTATCGGTATCGCGTGAAGCCAATGAGCTTCGCCTTCCAGTGTCCATCGCAAAGCCGTAGCCATGGGTAGTGCGAATACATGGTGTCAAGAAAGTCGACCATCTTCACTCCCGTAACATCAGACCATGCGTTCGGGATAGTATCCCAAGTAGCAAATACGCCTCGGGCAGTCGCGCCGGCCTTGCCAATGGTGTCAGTTCCCACGGTTGAACCCCACTCATACTCGAAGGCACGACCGAGGTCAGAATCAGATGGCTCGTTGGAGCGGTTTAACTTGTGCGTGCTAGTGCTGTCTATATGCTCCTCTTCTGCGTTGTTGTGGTCATCGAGAGTCCAGCGGGAGATGAGCCTGAAGTCGGTGCGCCTAAGTATGTAATTCCAAGGGACGACACCGGTAGGCAGTTGGGAAACGAAGTCAGCGGGGAGGTCAAAGGAAGATCCGACTGGAAGAGTCCGATGAGAGGTGCGTGTCGGTGCAGAGGATGCAGGGCGAGGCTGTATGCTGGCGAGTAGGGCCTTGTAATCGTCTCTGCAGATAGATGAGTGGCGTGCAGCAAGTGTGAGACGGCGACTCACTGAAGTTGTTCGACACGAGCCTCATAGGCTATAGTAGACTCGTACACAATGCAATAGGCAGCATTTTTGGCGATGATGAGATCTTCGTGTGTTGCTTGGCTCAATAGTTGTGTGTCGCGGGCAGAGACAACCGGCACCTAGAGGGTAAATACATACGATGAGACGGCGATGTCGGCGTATATGCAGAGCGAGCTTACTTTTCCGAGTACAGTAGTCGAGCCTCTTTGATTCCGAGGCGCTTGTGGGCTCGAGAAAGACCGAGGAAGACCAGCGGGCAGCGTAGACGCGAACGAGTCTGCAGTTTCCGACTTTTCATGAGCTGAACTCATATCTCGTGCGGGCGCTTCGTGTAGGACATAGCCAGTATCTTCAAGCTCGAGGAGTGACATTGCCAGAGTTTTGAGCCACAGGCCAGAATATGGACAGGTCGTCGTCGAGGTAGAAGGAGAACTCGGGTGACGCGGCGCAAAACGCGACGAGACGCGTCGCGTCGCGTGGGCAAGTCGCGTCGCGTCAAGACGCGTTGTAATTCAAATGTTTATTCAAAATGCCAAAGGGAAGCACGATGGCCTAGGGCAAAGTATCAGAATAGACTTTGTCTGGTAAGATAAAGATACTGACCGACTTTGGTTGAGGGCAGGTTCATATTGAGTAAATTACGAGCCAGACAGTCGAGGAAGCGCGCACGCGGCAGGCCACACGCGTGAGAACTACGTGTTGGGCAGGCGAGTGGCAAGCGACGCGAGTTGCCTACGACCTTGTCCAGCATCCAATGCACTTGTACATGTTTCACACTGGAAAATCATCATACCGAGGTCTTCAGAACTTCTACAGCGACATCTCTACATGCTCAACGTCAAAAACCGCGCCATACCATCCCTAACCGTCTCCCTCCATCCCCGCTACTCGATCTTCGTCTGACACTCCCCACCACAATATCTCTAAGCCAGGCTTCTCTACCAGAAAGTATCGCTTCTTGTGGTCTCCAGGCTTGTGGTGCTGAAAGGGAATCATGGCTACCACGCTCTTGATGTCTTGAACAGGTATAACACCCAAGTCGTCCTCGCCTTGATAAGTGGCAACATGCAGCACTCCGTGCGAGCGGCGAAGTAAGGTTTCGTCCGGCTTGCTGAACTTTGACACGAGCGCAAACGGGACCGAAGTAGTGCCATCATCTGCATCAGGAACCCTCGCTCGGAAATACGCTCGGACTTCGACGATATGGGTTTCCCCGTCTTCGTCGAGTGTCTGCATGCGCGTGAGCCAGTGGGTATCGGATGGAGCTTGATACAAACTATCTTACCTTGACCATGCGAGAACGGCGGATACGATCTTGTACACGGGTTCCCTCTTTCCACTCAGATCTCGCAATTTGCCCATTGGGGAGCCGTAAACGAGCAAATCGCCGGTAAGATGGCCGATACTCATAACCGTCTGGTACGTCGGTCGCGTCAATCTGTTCCATAAAGTCTGTGACTGCCTCGCCGGCCTTCCCTGTGAACTCGAATGGAGTTTCGTCGCGAGCGCGCAGTAGCACATAGCCTTCGCCACAGTCAACAGCACCGTGAGGGAGAGATGTCGCCGGATGCGCGTTCGGTGCTGCCTGGCCTGGGACCGGAGCTGGATCGTGTCGCGGGCGGAACTTCTTATCGGCGTCAAGATTGAATTTGATCTTGATGGCGTTTTTGTGGTCACGCCACAGAGCGCGTTCGCATAAGTTCTCGAAGAATGTACTGTGTTGGCGAACCTCTTCTCCGAGGTTACCAATAGTGCGCTCGAGGGGCCATTGCGAAGTGTACGCCCCAGGTCCCACACGGATAAGCTCGCTTGCAAAGTGCAGGAGGATATGAATGCTCTGCCGAACAAAATGGATACGATCACTGCGACCCTGGTAGTATTCGTTCTCAAAACCCTGTACGAACGCACGCAGGTGCTGGTGTCCAATGGCAACCTGGTCGTAAGGCACTTTGTGTTGCATGAAGATGCGAGCACCGGCGATCAGATGACACAAATGCTCCCAGTATCTGTCTTCGAGCACTTCGAATAAGAGAGCGGGGAGCAAGCCATAAAAGTAGAGTATAAACTCCCAAGCCTTGTATCCGCTGTTGAATTTCTCGGCTATATTTCTCGGAGCACGATCGAAAGACCCTGGAAAGAAGCAGCGGCACGCTGCCACCAAAGCACCATGCAGCTTCCACTCCTCGACTTTGCGATAGAAGCATGCCCAAGGCCAGAACTCCGGCTTGTCATCGCCCTCGCATATGAAGCGACCGAGGAAGAGGTTGACCATGAGGTCTGGGATGTTGATACCAAGGACATGCATGGTGGCATCTACGCCGAAGCAAAACGGGACAGGAAGTGACCGTGGCAAAGAGCTGAAGATGCTCGGCTTAACTATGCCGGTTTGGAGTCGGACTCGCTTGTACTCGGCATCTGTGCGAGCAGCCATTATCTTCTGCAAGCAATCGGTGTAGTAGGCAACCGAGGGCTGCGGGATGTCGTCAATCTCGATTGTGTCATGCGCAGAGCCTCGGACGTTGTACGGCGGATCAGGTTTGCGCAATACGGGATAGTATGTGGGAGCCTGGTTCGTCTTGCGCCGACCGGGAAGCCCGCAATGAATGCGGCAGCCCTTCCCTCCATGATGCGGAACGAGCCCACTCATGAGAGCCAGGCCGGGACCGTCGGCGAGGGCCAGCCAAAAGTAAAGGCCCTTTGACTCGATAGAAGCCTTCCGAGCATTCCAGACCTTGAAACCCGTCTTCTGAAGGACTGCCAGATGATAGAGTGAAGTATACATGAACGAATCAATGTGTTTAGGCTTGTTCGGTCCCGGAATGATTGCTCCGATCATGATGTACTTCTTTTGATAGCGTAGACTGGGAGGTAGATTCATGTTGATCCAGATCAAGATCCAGCAGTCGCTCTTCTTGTCACGATAGAGCTGTGCACCATCCAGCGAGCAGGAGAGTACGATGTCGTCATCTGTTATAGATCCATCTCGGGCAAGATCAAGGTACGTCGAGCTCGCGCAGTAGTCCTCGTAGTCATAGGTCTCGTTACGTGCTAGTTTACCGAGAAGTCGTGTAGTGAGTCTGCGGCGGTAGTCCATGTCGTCGGCAGATTGAGGTGTTGTGTACAGATTGGACAGCTGTGGCCCGACTGGGATATGAAGGCATCGCTTCACAGGCACACGCTCCATGCGGCCGCTGGCCTTTCGCTTGTCGCGGTAGCGAGGGCGACCACAATTCTCCTGAGGGCATTGCTCGAGATCTTGGTATGGACCTGTGAAAGCGACACAGGACTCGCTGCACATATCAACCCAGACAGGAACGATACCGGTCTCTTGTTCGACCTCAGACTTGATTTGATGATGCGAGAGAGGCGTGGTGTCTGGGTCATACTCGCGGAGACACTGCATACTCTCGTAGTAGCGTTCGACGGTCTCGATGTTCAAGAACTCGCGCATACAATAGCGCTGCGTCTTGTCGAGATTATAAGGCCCGGGTACGGGGTTCTGCAGCGCCTCGTGCACAGCCTCCGAGACCGAATCGTTCTCAACAGAAGCAGAACTCAGATCGTCCAGCCACTTCTTCGCATCCCGCAACATCTCGAGCGAAGGATCAACGAAGTCTACATCAGGTGCATCCTCATCGTCAGGAACAGCCGTGCGCTCGCGTGGGGGGATCTGACCGCCGCCAACCTGAATCTCGTCTTCCTCATCCTCGTCTGAGGCATCCGGAGCAGGGTGCTGCCGATCTGGCACGGCAGGGCTAAGGTAGCGAAGCTGTTGATTGCGTTCATCGGCATCCCCGACCTGCGAAGATGTGATTATGATATTATCTTTGGCCGAAAGGAGGCAGAATCAACATACGTGTTCGCGATCCGGGGAATCGAGGCGTCCATCTTGGTCACTTCTCGGTCCACCGAAGGCCTGCAATTGTCCATCAGCTAAGGCCCTGTACAGTATTTCATACCATTACATCGTCAAATCCATTGTCGCGTGGGCTTGAACGAGGGCTATCATCTCGGCGAGCACGATCTCTCATCTGCTCTGTGCCATTGTTTAGTACTGTACTCCATCTGCTCGGCCACAAACAGACCAGGGGTACGCGGCGGCAGGACATCCCGAAGCTCGCGCTCCGCGTCTTCTCGGGTACAAGGTCGTGCTATCAGTTCCTCGTAGCGAGCGCGTGCGAGGCACCCATTCTGGTAGTCGTGTAGTAGGCGATCATTTCGTCGATGTACTGCATGCCGAAACCAAGTCGACCGAGGAACAAGTTTCTGGGACCCAGAGCAACCATCCAAGCAGCCGCAAGGAAGGTCGGAACTCGAGGAGGCCATGTGGGCAGCATGAACCGTAGTAAGAGTGGGCTGAGGAAGGGTGTATATGTGTCGGGCGTATGAGGGTGCTCTCACACGACGACACACCACCTGACATCACTTCGATCCTTCCAGTAGTATGGGCGTGCAGGCTGGGATATGGGTTACCTATACCTGCAAGTATATCTCCGAGAGATCACTCTGGGCAGACGGACGAGGCAATCCTGTTGTTGTCTCTCAGAAGCACATGCACAGACGGCGTGGCACGTGGACGAGCGAAATGGCGGAAACAAGCTTTACATGCAATGGAGAGGAACATGTTTCTAAGCTAAGACGGACAACGTCGCAGGGTTTCGCATGCGAGCAGCTGCGACGTTGATCGCAAGAGGCAAGCCAGATGACGCGTTGCTCGCGTTGACGCGTTGACGCCCGTTGCCTCCCGCTAGCTCCCGCGATCTCCCACCAGACCCATCAGCCGCCCGCTCTCTCCCGTTCGCGCACGCTCCCGCACACGGGGTTTCGGTTGGGTCTGATCGACCGCGCAATGTTATGCATCAGCCTTGGTATCAGATGCGCTTCCGCTCTCAATCAAGAGCTGCCTATGGCTTTACTGGCGCTCTCTCGCATGTGTCGCGATTGGAATGCAATCAGTACTATAACCTTCCTGCTCGAGATCAGACACTTCTTGCAACGTCTCGCGAGGGTCAATAAATGCGAGTTGTCGTGCCTGATATTGTTCTACATAATGGCGCGGACTAGCGTCTAACGAGAGCTCTTGAATGGACAGGTGCGGGATTTTCTAGCAACGAGCATGAAGACTCAAAGTCATTATTGATCGCAAAACGCACAGGCACGCTCTCCAGCCCAGACCCGTTCACTACCCCTTGCTCCAGGACGGAAGCTCGCATAGATACGACGACAACTATGAGCGTGGGATAAATTCCCTATGTAAGTCGGTCAGAACGCTTTATGGGGTGTATTCTGGAGTTGCTTACTGATACCTGACAGAGCCAATAGTTTGACCAGTACGTCCCGGTCGTCCCGAACAGTCCATCATTGACAAAAACGTAGATTACCCATAAGAATGAGTAAATAACCCCTGTCTCAATCACACGGAGAGAACGGCCACCAGCCTATGGCGACCTGCTGAAGTTCTATATGGTGAAAGAAGAGTCTTGAGCTCTTTGCGATATATGCTACAGATAAGGGCAGCTCATGAGTACGAAGACATGATATATGAGGTATCTTAAACGCTTACAGCGCCTCCCTAGCAATCAATACCGTGGAGAAGACCTGCGCGAATGCCGTCGTTGCCAGAGCCGTCGAACTTAGGCCCCAAACTATAGCTCCATGATCGAACGTCTCTAGATGTGTCGCGTAGCTAGGAGGACGAGATAACGAGGCAGTGAAGTTGAGGGCTACATCGTTGGCGTACAGCGCTGCACGTAAGATAGGTTAGTACTGTGTCAGACGTAATTTTGCGCTCCCGACATACCGCAGGAGAAGACGAATGTTGATATGCACACCACCTTGAGCCATCGCGGTCTGCCATAGATGACATATGCCCTCCAAAGCGTTATATAGTCGCAGAAGACATACTTGGACGCTCAATAAAGCGGAGAGGGTGGTTCTGCGGGATCACTCACGACGATTGCGCCGCATGTGTCGCGAGCGAAAGCTAAGTTCCCATTGAGGCTATCCACAGCCTGACCGATGGGGAGGTCACCGAGGTCACCGCTGTTCATCAGACGGCCGGGAACAAGTCGGTAGAGTTCTAGCGATAGGATCCACACGTCGAGTGCCCATGACGTCGCGCACATGACGAATAAGCAGATAGAAACTACAAAGACTGCTAGTACCCGCTCCCGGTCTTGCCTAACCCTGTCGTGTCAACCTGTGCCACATTAACCTCCAATATGAGTATTGACGCACCTGTACTTGAGACAGTAAAAGATCATCAGCACCGTGTACAGAGCTATGCGTGGCATTCAGGTACTTGTCGTAAACAATCGGTTCTGCTGGGACCCACCAAATAAGATACTCTCCAGTATGACCGGAAATATGCGGTAGTCGGATATGCTCTTGATGTCAGCCGCGATCTCTTGGAGACGAAGTGCTGAACTGTTGGCAGCGAACATGATGAGGTCTACGCAGGGAGTCTTATCTGGTGAGCTGACCGTCGCGACAGTACTGTGGTGAATGAGACGAACCGAGGTAAGACAAGCTGACCGCAGAACCTATTCTATGTGAGACCATCGAGTTAAATACAACAATCATGAAGGCAATGCTCGTTCCCTCGACGTATCGCCATACAGACGTATGATGATGGCATGCATCGGATATGGATTTTCGAGCGACAGTTACAAGTTGATGTGCGCCAAAACGATCATTACATCGACGAGCGAACGGGTTCCGTCATATGGTCGTCCTGTACAAGGACGCGCCTCAGTCGTGGCAGGGTCCTGGGAGATGTGATGACGGCAGGAGGCAAGCCGGTCGGGTGAGCCGGTCGCGACTTTGCCGAGGGAACACTTCCGGATTTGGATGACTTCCTAGCTCGCATCAAATTTACATAGACTGGAGATCACATATCGGCGGGAGAAGAGAGATGTGCAGCACGGTCACAAGTGTTTCATGCTGTGAAATCATGCCCGACACTGTACCTCCGGCTCGCGATAGCCCCGAAGAAGGTTGAAAGTGGCAAGCCCTCCGCAGACCAAAATCGCGGGCTTTCGCGCTGTCGACCATCTCTGGGTACTGTAGAATTCTTGCTCAGAAGTATCGAGAATCGCATGACAGCGAGTGAGAACAAGGGGCACGTCGTATATAGCGTAGACGACGAGACATGCAGTTGATGCAGTATATTACAGTGTGAGCATCGATCAAGAGTAGGCGTGCAGTTGATGCAAGAGAAGGGTATGCAGTTGGATGCAGAGATGGAGAGCAAGTGTGCAGAGATCCGGGGTTCGTGACAGGGTGCTACAAGGGGTGTGTATGTCAAGAGAGGGGACAACGGGGGTTGAACCCGATGAGATGTACGCGCACAGATTGGCGGCGCGGGAATGTAGGTAGAGATGGAGCGATGCAATATTAGAATACAATAAGCAAGCGAAGAGCAGGGTCGTAAGATGAGCAAAGACGCGGGTAGACTGCAATGAACGAAAGCGTAGATGAGCGAAGTGGGTGAGAGTCTTTAGGCGGTGCCGCTCTCGTGTGCGATAGCGTCTCCGTTGTGGAGCAGATGCTCGGTCTCGTTCGGGAGGACGACGGCGTCATTTGGATGGGTCGCGGCGTACTGCTCGCCGGCAAGGAAGAAGGGCTTGAAGATGGCCTCCTGACTCTTGTAGTCGTTGTGAACGACATTAACTAGCATCAACTCGTCCATGAGACCGGTGATGAGCGCGCGACTGGAGCTCTCGGGCTCGTAGATGTGTGACCATTGGCGCCAAAGCTCGTACGCCTCGTCCTGGTAAACACCGTTAGTATTGAACACGACTCTCAATCTCTATGGACAACATACCTTCCAAGCCATGAAGCTGATCGCCTCCACGATCGTCGGCTGGACTATCTCCTTGCCCGGGAACACACCCCAAGTGACAGCATTTGGACCCTCCTGCGTGTTGTTTGTACGCAGATCGCCACGCTTATTGATCACGTAGTAGGTGATGGAAGGGTCCTTCTCGAGGTACGAGATGAGCACATCGAGGAGTTGCGGGCGAACGAAGAACTCGAGGTACGCTTTCTGGTACACGTAGCCGTTCGCGGGACCCCAGCCGAAGACAGCGTCATCCGAACGTGCGCCGTCGACCGCGGGCTGCGAGTTGATTGTGAGGAAGCCAAGCGCATTCATGCGTGCTAGTGGGGTAGAGATCACGCTCGTCTCGAGTGACGGTGCTTGGTCGCTCCACGGCAATGCGGGGAGCTCGCTGGTACAGAAGCGGCGGAACAGGGACGCAACTTCAGCGAAGCTTGCAGGGTGGCCCCAAAGACGCAAGGCATCTTCGCGGGTCTGCTTGATAGAAGCACCGTATCCGTCGAGGTCACCGTAGGCAGGAGAACGCGAGTCACCGAAACGGCCGTTGGGGTACTCGTCCCAGTTCTCAGTGCGCGAGAGGTACGACTTCGTACGGTTTGCCCAGAAGATGGGCCGGATCGTCTCAGATCGACGCGAAGGCGTGAGGGACTGGCGCCACGGCAGCGGCTTGAGCGTTTCAACGCGTGGAACGAGGTTGAGCTCCTCGAGCAGCATGCGGCTTCCACGCTCAAGATTCATCGTGTAGAAGTGCAGACCGCGGATTCCCAAAGGAGCAGCGAGGATCTTGCGGCACATGTCTGCTACGAGGCGCGTGCCAATCTCGCGGACCTTCTCATCGTTGTTCTTGTGCGGCTCGAGTGCGTCAAGGAATGTCTGCGGGATGTGCGTCTTGGCCAGCGATGTTGCACGTTGGAAACCGTTCCAGGTCTGGATGGGCATGATACCGGGAACAATGGGGATGGTGATGCCAGCAGCGCGAATGGCTTTGACCCAAGAGATGAAGATGTCAATGTCGTAGAACATCTGTGTGAAGATGAAGTCCACGCCAGCATCGATCTTCTGCTTGAACCACTGTATCTCTTGTTCGCGCTCCGCCTCGGGCAACAGCATGTGTTGGGGGAAGCCGGCCACAGCGATGTCGAAATGATCGCCGTATTCGGCGCGGATGTGCCGCACGAGGTCGATACCGTGCTCGAAGCCGCCCTCGACCGAGGTCCACTCTTCCTTGCCCATCGGCGGGTCACCGCGCAGGGCAAGAATATTCCTGCAGCCGGCCTCCTTGGCCTCCTTCAGAGCGATGTCGACCTTCTCCTTCGGCATATTCGTACATGTCAGGTGCATGCATGTCTCAATGCCGATGTAGCCCTGGCAGGTCTTGACGAGTTCAGAGGTGAGCTCGGATGTGCGTCCACCGGCATTCCTGCGAGCGCCACACGCATCAGAAAAAGACAACAAGTCAGACATTCGTCCAGCGCATACCATGTAATGTCGATGAACTCTGGGCCCAGCGCGCGCATACGCTCGATACGATCCAGCAAGTTTTGTAAACCCTGTCCATCGGCACTTTAGTTGAGGCAGTGAGAACTACCATCCCAAACGGGAACGTACCTGCGCAGTGCGGGGCGGGAAATATTCGAAGGACCACCAGACCTTGTCCTCCTTGGTCGCTTTCTCGACCTTCTTGCTGATCTTCATGGCTCAGACGACGTAAAGAAAGAAAATAGGCAGACAGAAGGGGAAGACCGAGACCAGAGAGAAAAGTCAGGAAGCAACCTCGATCCTTCCACTGCTCAGTCTCATCGTGCACAACGCCGCGCCCCCACGTGCGGGCCACGATCCGCGTCCCGATCGTACGTTCGGCCGAATTTCCGTGCTTGCCTCGAGCCTCCATGTTGCATTTGCCATGAGCGCAGACCTACAGCAACATTATCCTGATCGTGACTCCACGGTTTCGTGGCAATAGCGCTCGTCATTTGTGGCTCTGTTTGCGTATACGAACCGCACAAGGTTGGACCGAAGCTATGATGGTCTTCGCCGTCCGGCGCACTGCCTCGAAAGGACATCAAGGATCAAATGCGTCGACGTATCGACCCTCCACGATCTCTATGTCTATTCGTAGGTCTGTTTCCGGAAATCAAGGGTGACCAGCCTGCCATCAGAGCATGCTCATGAACTGTGCACCGCTCTCCGCCTGACTTTGGAGCACTCAAAGTTGACACAACAGCTAGTATGATGGGCGTCGCGATGAGGGTCATTGCAGGAATCATATAAGAGTTGCAGCGCTGCGTCGTCAAACCTCAGCTGCGCTCACATCCCCTCCAGGTACTGGCTACCTTTCGTCTTCTTCTCTCCACGACTTTTTCTTGTCTTTTTCATCCCGTTACGACCCCGGTTCAGTCAACCGACAATCGCCTGTAACGAAACACGCTCACTCTTACGAACACCTCTCAAACTCAATTCTTCGCCACATACATCATGCGCGCATTCACGTCTTTCGTCCTTGCTGCTCTTGCTGCCGCACCGGCGTTGGCTGCTCCCCTCGCGCCCATCGAGACCGGCTTCACAGCGTGAGCTACACCCTGCATGCTCATCAATGAACCAAGCTAATGGATCTTCAGTCCTCGCATCGGCGTCCCCATCCAGTCCCTTCAAGCTCGCCAAGGTGGCCCGGTCCAGAACTTGCAATCCCCATCCACCGACGCCTCCGCATCGGCGACTGCGCCCGCTTCCACAGCCTCTGCGAACGCATTCAACATCCGCCCAGGCTTCGGTCCCGGCCCCGTCATCCTTCCCCGTGAACCCTTGCGCCCCGTGTCCTTCATCCCAGTCTCGGCGCTTCAGGGTGCGCAGGGCAAGCGACAGCTCAACCGTGGCTCTTTCATCAAGCCCATTGACGGCCCGATCGGACAAGGTCCCGTTGTGAGGCGTCAACTTCAGGGTGACAGGCCTGCATCGGGAGACGTCTTCGTTAACCCGCTTCGCCCTATCGGCGGCCCTGTTGCTCTGAACCAGCGCCAGGAGGCCACGACTGGTGAAGCGTCAACCGTGGCTTCCGGCGAGACTGCTACGGAGACCGCCGCTGGCTCTGCGACAGCTACTGAGGCTGCTGGCGCCGCCTCTGCGACGGCTACGGATGGTGTAGTACCTGCGACTGGTACTGAGGCTGCCGGTGGAGCAACTGCTACTGAGGCAGCTGGTGGTGCTGAGGCTACTGGATCGGCGACCGCTCCCGCAACCGGCACAGAGTCTGCTGGTGGTGCCGAAGCTTCTGGCGCGACCACCGCGTCTGAAGCTGGTGCATCTGGTGCTGCAAGCGCTACGGGCACGGCGGCCGGTGAGGCCCCCACTGCCAGCGGTGCTGCTCCTGCGGCCGGCGGCGAGGGAAGCGCACCGGAGGCTAGCGGTCGTCCCGGCCGCCCCTACGGCGGCAAGGGTCCCGGCCGTATGTACGGCTTCATGCCGGACGGGTCGGTTGTGGCTATGGGCGAGGCGCCTGCATGAGTTCCCCGTATCTGAAGTGTTCGCTTCCTATCGACATGCTTTGTATTCTTTGTAGTTTTTTGCCTGGAGTGGATATGATACGGCCTCGTTCTCAACATCAAGGACTCGTCACACTCGAGTGTACGCAATACGGAAGCTCTCACGACACGGTGAGCTGAGGTGAATCATTAGCATTATGCCTTCCTACCCTGGACTGCCATCGCCTCGTAGGCTGCCTCATCTCTTCACAGTATAGACTTCACTGGCGCAGTCAACGAATGCGTACATCTGGTGAGCTAATGGGGATACTCGACGTGACTGCGCCTGCGCCGTGCGTTTACCAGGTCACTGCGCGTCTGCGTTCTGGGACGCAGTCGACGAATGTTCTAGGATAGTATATGTGGCAAACTGCGACGTATGTGCAAAGCTCATGACGGCTGCGGCGTGACTTTGGCTGGTGCGGCGCAGAGCTTCTGAACAATGATCACTGGGCTATAACAGCTGGAGGAATCCAGGCGTGGTACATATTGCCAACGATTCTCCGCCTTCGCAAGCACCAGCGCCTCACATCGTGAACGTCGAGCTAAAAAACTCTCAGTCACCTTCATGTCATCCTCATTCAGAACTGTTGCTGCACTTCTTTCCAAAGAACATGAGCGGATGACGCCCGGAGAATCCTACTCTAGTAGGACATTATGCTTAGTTGATTATATAGCATCAGCTTATAATTGGAGCGCAGGTACCCAGCGTCCTATACTCGCAGCCCCATGTGCGCTTGCTCTTGAAGGGCATCGCGATACCGAAGAGATGTCTGGTTTGAACGTCAAGCTCAGTGGAATCCGCGGGGCCCCATCGTCCACGTACTTGGCGCGCACCCGCTGAGCCGTGCAAGGCGTGAGTGCCTTCTGTGATCTCAATCGATTGACATGACACGACTCTTCTTCAATCCAGGGCCCCCTTGCCATAATAAAGTTAATCGTCACTGCGAGCTGTGTACATGGTGGTCGCTGCGAAGACGCGCGAGCGGACCCGTTCGCGCATCGGACGGCGTCGTGGTGATCCGGACTTCGGGCCGGAGTGTCGAGTGGTGGGGAAGTTCTCCAGTTGAAGTAGTCTTCGTACTGTCAAGAGGTCCATTGAGTATCCCATATACATCCAACCCGAGAGTATAAGCCAACTCGCCTCTGAGTGCTGTATTCACAACCGAAGAAATCCCAGCGACAGAATAAAAGCCATCAGAGTCGAGTGCGAAGAGCGCTAACCTCCGTTCTTCCCATGGTCAACTTGAACCGCGACGACGACGAACCCGCCCCTTACACACAGAACCTGCTTATGCAATAGTACCTCCTACCGTCCAGGCGGGAGAATGAACGCAGTGGATGTATGTGTCATCCCGGTTCCCACGCGCCGAAAAGTGCTCATAATTGCCAACAGAATGAGCCCCGTTGTATCTGGCGGCTCTCAACAAGTTGAGACACCTGTCAACCAGCAGAACAGTATCGTCGACAGTGGCAATGCCACTCACTATCATGCTCTACTGGATATCACCTCGCTAGACGCTCTGCGTGAGCTTTATTCCGCAGACAACTTGTCTCGCGTGCGGACTCTGGATATATCGATACATTCCGCGGAGGATGCATCAACTCTGCTTCTCATCCTTACCGAGAGGGAGATGGGATCTCTACTGCAGCTTAGACTCGCATCCAGCTTTTGCGATTTCGAAGAGCAGACCACCCCTCCACTACGTGCCCCCAAGCTGCAAAGAGCATCATTTGCTGCCATCTTCCTTGAGCTCGTTTCGCCAAACTTGATAGAGCTGGATATAACTTATGACTCTGCCGGTCCACATCCTCTACATCCCGATGCCCTATGTGGTACGCTATCGCGTAGCACTCAATTGCAACGCTTGGAGCTCACCGATTGTCTCCCATCCAATCTGGACCAGATAGAATGCCCGTTGAGCCTGCCGTCTCTCGAGTGCATCAGACTCACGGAGAACGCTGAATCTTCCCATCTACTATGTGGCTCGTTCTTACGCTCTCTTTCCTTTCCACATTCCACCAAGCAACACATCTCGACGGTTAGCTCCGAGGACGCCCTGGACGTTCTCGCTGTCAGTGCACAGCGAATATGGAAAAAAGATGCGCCTTCCGGTCTTCTACTGGATGTCAAGTCTGGGTACATCGGCTTTCACTTCTACTCGGACGTGAAGCCACACCACGAGAAAGATGACAGACCCTTCGAAGGCGCAAAGAGGAAGGCAGAGCTATCATTCGGTGTCAAACTCCGACATCTATCACCCCTCATGCAGGCGTTGGCGTCATCGATCAACCTCTCGCATATCAAGACGCTCTCGCTATGCGATGATACGAACTTGCAACCCGACGATGATGGTTCTCACTGGCGTTCTGTATTCGAGGCGTGCACGGGCGTACACCTCTTACATCTCGCGGATACACGCGGCTCACCCCAGCCATCGTTGCTACTTGCACTCGGGGCGCAGAGTGAAGTCGTGGCATACGCGGAAGCTCGTCGTCCGACGGCTCCGGACGATGGTGGGGATCGAAGCTATGCGGATGAGGACTCGGGGTTCTCGTCTAGCCATGCCAGTCCACTCTCCAGCACTTATGCGTCTTCCGAGGAGGGTGGCGATGCTGCAAACGACGACGAGAGCGATGCTTCTCTGTCGGACACGGACGCGAGCTCCTCTTCACAATCCTCAAGCGTCGATTCAGCTCCTCCCGCTCTCGACACCGCGCCGCACCTATATCCGTCGGCCGCAGATGAAGAGATTACACCCTTCCCGATGTTAGCTGAGCGCTTGCGCCAGCTCCAACATACAATCTTCATCGAGCTGGACTCGCCCGACGCCAGTCAAGGAGATTCGTCGGGTGACAGTGCGCCTTCCCAAGGAGATGTAGTGGCCAGCGATGCTGAAGGGGCGGACGCGTTCGTGAGAGATACCGAAGCGTCTCGGTCTCCGGAGTCGACAGAGGGCCCTCGTCGGGTTGATGACGAGACGATTCCCTCCCCTGTGGACGAAAACACCCGGTCCTCATTGTTGGGGGAGCATGTACTTCTGAATCTGGAAATCCTCTGGCTCGCGTCATACGTGGATTCAACCCGTCCTGTCAACGCATATACATTCCCTCTGGAAGCTCTAGTACGCGCGCTGACTTCGCGTGCAAAGTCACATACAAAGACATCTGCCTCGCGCAGTCCGCGCACGCTGCGCGTCGACGTCTCTGTGGCGCTGCGCGAGCCAGGCGTGTCCGAGCCTCATCTCCTGGAAGCGCGCGTTCGCTTCCCGAACATATTGTGGTCAGATGGCTGACCGAGGTGCTGTTGGGCGCGCACTGCGAAGTACCATCTTTGCATGGCGTATACCGCTGGCTCAGTCCTTCCGTATTACTTCCAGAGCCAGATACACGCTACGAGTCCCATCCACCGTTGTACCGCTACGATGTAGAGATTGTGATATCGCCTGTATCGCGATCCCGTGACAAACGCGTCGAGCCACTGCACCTACCATAATTTCCTTCCTGCACTATCGGAAGAGTTCTACTTGGCATTGACGGAAGGAAGACGCGCCATTAGACTCTTGCCTTCGATAGGTACCCCGAGAGCTCAGAGTTCAAGGCGGAACACCGCCCTTTATGCGATATAATGATGTCCCGCACGGGAAGATGATGTCATCGATCCTCAGCACTCAGGCTGCGGGGGCCAAAGAATGGACGCTGGCGCCTGCGGCGCGGCTTGAAAGGCGCTATAAGATCCATCTTGACTTCGACCACGACCATATTACTTCATTCATCCATACCCAAGAATCGTCATGGTCTCTTCCTTGACAGATCTACCCGTCGAGGTGCTTATCGACAATGTGTTGCCTGCCGTCGATCTGGCCGATCTAGGGAGCCTTGCTGCAACAAATAAGACCATGGCTACCATATGTGCCGACGACACTTTTTGGAAGCGCAAGTGCTTAGAAGACTTCAACTTTCACAGCAGCGAGACGGCTCGGACGAGTGGTTGGAAGGTACTTTATCGTGGGCTCTTCCGCCCAAGGATATTCGTCTGGGGGTACGTCCGAGGTTCTTAGGCCATGATACTGCGCTTACTCCTGCACCAGTGAGAGACGCAATGGACGTCTTGGTCTGCAAGAGCTGCCGAGGGGGCTCGGGGCAGGTGTTCCGTACCCACTCGAGGTCCGGATCCCAGGGCATCGTATAGTCTCCTTGGCAGCTGCTGGAATGTATGTATAATTCATCATTTGCTTGACGCTGGTCTGACGTGAACATCTCAGGTCATTCTATGCACTAGACTCTAAAGGTGTGATGTTCGCATGGGGTACCATGAACGGCGAAGGTATGGCATTCAGCTCAGACGGCTTCTCCGTCGAGCACAAGACGGCGCCTGTACCCCACAAGCTCATCATGCCTACACCAATCCGCACCGTTAGGTGAGCTATACGCCGGTCACAATGAATGCTTCTTGATTTGCGTATAGCTGCGGGAGATTGCATACGGTCGCTCTTGACGCGAAGTCTCAAGTGTGGACATTCTGCAACTGGGGCAGGCCGTTCCAACTGGCATCTGCACTGGTCGACCGCCACTCGCCTGATACGACGCCCGTACAAGCGGAAGCTGGCTGGAGTTTTAGCGCGATACTGACTCAGTCCGGCGATGTTCTTGTCTACTGGCAAAACTCGGGAACGATGGGACGAGCATTCACGGAGCAGATGTCACTTATGGATCGTAACGACGAGACGAAGGCAAGGGCGGACGGCCAACACAGAATTCCCTGTGCAACCTGGGAAATGTTGCAGGACCCAGTTCGTCTCCGCCCTATCCCGGACCTTCCAACTCTCGCGGACAACGGTCTGTCCCAAGAAGAGCAGGCGGAGCCTACGAAACTCGTCAGGATCGCCGGTATGGACAATAACCTCATCGGGCTCACCAATAAGGGCCATGTTCTCCTACATCGTGGCTTGGACAATGACAGACTTGCCCCGGGGGCTCACTGGGAATATGTGCGTGAACTCGTTAGCGTGTAGGGCTCCTTCGTCTTGACCAACATCCCTGTAGCTGCCTGAATTCAGCGACATACATGCGTTGAAGCGTAACCCGATATACGCCGATGACACACTACAAGCACCAGAGACTATGCGTATAACTCATGTAAGGTGTTCGCTCCTACTCGCTTGCACGGCCCTGAATGGACTTGAATAGGTGACTGCCCATTTCCATAAGTTCGTTGCGTACTCCACCGGAACGCGGTCCGTCATCCTGATGGGAAACTCCGACACCGGCCCCCTCTCCAGACCCGAGATCATGCCCGCCCTACAAAATCGAAGCGTGATCAACGTTCTACTCGGCGACTATCACAATGCTGCTCTGACTTCGGATGGCAAGCTTCTCACTTGGGGGAGCTACTCGAACGGCGCGTTGGGCCTCGGCGACCCTCGTCAGCTACCTGCCGGTGCTCCAGGTGGATATGAGAATGAGGAGAGACGTCAGCGAGTCATAGCCCAGAGTTTCATAGCTGATCCCCCAAGCGTCACGGAGCCTGCCGAAGTCCGCTTCGATCACAACGGGGAGAAAGGCAGGAAGTTCGTGTTCGCGGCGACCGCGGGCGGATGGCACACCGGTGCTCTGGTCATGAGCCTAGAGGTGTGTAGCCTACATCCCCTAATGCTGTCCAACTAAGCTCGTTCGCAGCCCGAGAAGGACAGATTGGAAGAACAAGAGGAACAGCAGATGCCCGGTGCCTTCCCTGGGGCGCAGAACACAGAGACCGTACCTCCTCCTCCAGAAATGGGCCATACGTGGGGACCTGGAGAAATGCCGGGCTTCCCAGTGCCGGCAGGGGGTGGCTTCCGAGGAGGGATAGGTGGGAGGATCTTCCGCATCGGCTATGCAGGGAGGGGTATGAATCGTGGGGCATACGGACCCGGAGGCCGTGGTCGTGGTGGGCAAGCGTGACGAGACGCGGTATTGAAGAATTGGGGCCTCTGTCATTGTGGTTGTTGTTGTACGATATACGCTAGGCCGGCGCTGTCATGGCAGGAGCGAACTGGACAGCAGCAAGTCAGCTGAACGGCGATTGCCAGGACCCACGAGATGACACGGTCTCGTGACTATCCACACCCACGTGTCTTCATCGTGTATTTTGGTAAAGAACGCGCTTTCTCTCGCACGAGGACGGCCACCCGTCACAGTCTTCACTCCTCCAATAATCAGGGACATTGAAGAATCTCTATTATGCTCATCAATCAAGAGCGCCGGCGGGATGTTTGTTCGCTAGAGTCACTGAAGCGAGCTGCAAGCATGATTATCATCATCAATCGAGCGCCAATCATTCAACGTGGTGCGCAACGTCAAGACTCAGATGCGTATCAGAGCACACAGAGCTCGACTTGTCTTTGTCCACCACCACCATCGCATCTGGAATCATCGCTTAAGGCGATGAAGGCGAATATGCCCCGTTCTTTCAGAGACCTCTCTGTCGAGGTGCTTATTGACAACTTACTACCCGCTGTCGATCTCTCGGATCTCGGAAGTTTGGCTTCTACGAACAGGTTTCTTGCCGCTATTTGTAGCGACGACACTTTTTGGAAACGAAAATGCTTGGAAGACTTCAACTTCAGCAGTGGGGAGACGGCTAGAACCAGCGGATGGAAGGTGCTTTATCGCGGATTATTTCGTCCAAAGATCTTCGTCTGGGGGTATGTAATACGGTGGCGCTTCATATCAGCAAGTCACTTATATCAGTGCGCTCTCAGCGAGAAGAGTAGTGGGAGGCTCGGTATCCAGCAAGGGCTTTCCACGATTGGCGCTGGGAGTGGGGTCCCATATCCGATTGAGCTCGGGATCCCCGGGCATCGCATCATATCTCTAGCCGCCGCCGGAATGTAGGAGATGATCATACGCGCCTCTGATAATACGTCTAATCTTGGTCAACCTCTCATAGGGCATTCTATGCGCTGGATGTCAAAGGTCTACTTTTTGCATGGGGCACTCTCGATGGCCGACATGAGATGGGAAACAGGCGGGACGGGTTTTCTGCCGCATACAAGACCGCGCACGTTCCCTATCAGCTTGTGATGCCAAATCCCATACGTAGTCTGAGGTTAGTCGCTAGAACATTCTCACTCACTCAAGATGTTGTCTGACGGACATATAGTTGTGGGAGGCTCCACACGCTCGCCCTGGACACGAAGTGTCAGGTGTGGACCTTCTGCAACTGGGGTCGGCCCTTTTACTTAGAATCTGAGCGTTTCAATGGTCTACTGCCCGAGACGACACCTGTACAAGCAGAGGCAGGATGGAGCTTCAGCGCTATACTGACTCAGTCGGGCGACGTTCTAGTATATTGGCATGATGATGGGGCCATGAGGCGAGCATTCAACAGACAGATGGCCCTCATGGACCGCGACAATGGCACCAAGGCGCGACCAGATGAACAAAGCAAAACTATACCTTGCGCAACATGGGGGCTGAAGGAGGACCCGTTCGTCCTGCGACCCATACCAGACCTTCCCGTGCTTTCGCGCAACGGCTTATCCGAAGAACAGCAAGCTGAGCCTACGAAACTCGTCAAGATCGCAGGAATGGACAACGTGCTGATCGGGCTCACCAATAAGGGACACGTAATGAAACATGGTGGTCTACATAACGAATTGTCATCAGGGGAAGGCTCCCGCTGGGAATATGTACGTCGTCTGATCTTTAGTGCAGCATCTGCGCTCAGTCCCCCACCTAGTTACCTGAGTTTAGCGATGCCGAATACCTCAGACATAACTCTGTGTATCAGAGTGAGAAACTGGAAGCACCAGATATCATGCACATCACCCATGTAAGAGACTTCACTACATTGCCCCTCCGATACCCATGATGAGCGCATGTGCAGGTGACAGCGCACTTCCACAGATTTGTGGCGTACTCCACAGGCTCGCGGTCCATCATCCTGATGAGCAACGACAACACCAGTCCTGCCACTCCGGCCAATATCATGCCGGCGCTACAAGACCGAGGCGTAATCAATGTCCTCCTCGGGGACTATCACAACGCCGCTCTGACTTCGGACGGAAAGCTTTTCACATGGGGCAGCTACTCGAACGGCGCGTTAGGTCTCGGGGACCCTCGTGAACTCACGCCCGGCACCCCGGGAGGGTATGCCAACGAGGCACAACGGCATCACCAGGCGGAGGCTCGCGGCTGGATAGCTGAGCCACCGCCCGTGCGAGAGCCGACGGAAGTCAGGTTCGACTATAATGGAGACAATGGTAAGAAGTTCGTATTCGCGGCGACGGCGGCTGGATGGCATACCGGTGCCTTGGTCATGAGCTTGGAGGTGCGTTCTGTTGGTGGCGTGTCATTTCATTGCATTGATGTCCTCGATAACCCGAAAAGGATAGACCCAATAAGGAAGACTGAAAGGGCACTCGCGTCGAGATTGGTCATGCATGGACAAGGGGTCAACGTCGTGGCTCGCGTGAGTCTGCGAACCGTGGTCGTGAAGTTCAGAGATAGGACAAGGTTGAGCGTAAAATACCCATCGTGCAAAGCTGGGATGTTCTCCAATGGTTTCAGGGCAGCGGTCTTCACAAATGACGATAGCATACGGCTTCCAAGAAAGATATACGTCTAGAGGAAGAAGCAACGTTCGCGAAGCCCGCGCATACCTAGGATGTCCTGTCTGGGTTGTTAGCCACGATGTGATGAAACGTATGAATTACATCACGTACCCAATCCGCAGCCGTCAACCATAGATCCGCGACCCCATCCATCTTTCCCAGTACCGACGCGCCCTTCCAAACAAGAACATGCGGATCCACTTCCTTGGGCGCAGGCAGCACGGTGATGCTTCGAGAGGCGTCTGGGTATGACTGCATGATGATGGACTGCAAACTGCGCAGACTCTCAGTCTACCGCTGACCGTGCAATACGACGGGGAGCACGAACCGACTTTCAATCTGATACGACATGCCTGGAACCTGGGAGGTTCCGCCGACAAGAAGCACACTGCTTAGCCACTTCTTCAACCTCGCCTCATTCTCAACGCCTCGACAGCAGTTGTAGATCGCGACGTCCAGTGGCAGCTGACTGGCCTCGTATGGAATGTCGATCTGCTGTATGGGAGTGGAGTCGGGTGTCGGGGGTATCGGAGGCGTCGTGAGAGTAGGAGGAGGAGGGGCCGCTTCTGACGTGTCGACGTCCATATTTGCCGTGGAGGTACCGTTCTCTGCGAGTGGTGTACCTGGATGAAGGTCAGTAACCAAGCCAGAGACATATCCAATAGAAATTCACCGTTTTCGAGGGTCGGTTCTGCCGGTGGTACTGATCCTTCAGCAGGCGCTTCTGGAGGCTGTTGTGATGCCTGCTGAGCGGCGATTCGCTCCTTCTGCTTATCCAAGAGATGCTTGGTGGAGATCATCATCGCATTGGTCTGTTGCATATATCAGTCTTGGGCATTCGTGCCGCCCGAATATAGACAGGAAGCGTACCACAAGCTCCGGGTTATATCCTTCCATGTTTTCGCGAGTATCATACACGTCGTCGACGACGTCCGGGTGGTGAATCGGCGTTTGACCTATCTTGCGCCGGTCGTGGTCGATGATGCGAGGTTCAAAAAGACACTGCATATGAGTGAATGAATACGATGAACGGCGCATTCAGACTCATCCTGCTCACCATCACGGAGAGGATGACCTCGTCGTACGCTCGCAGTCCGTACTTCTCAGCCGGCTTTCCGGGCGCACGGACAATAAAGTCGTACAGATTCAGAGCAACATTGTGCTAGAGGACGTATTGACTGCTGATGCCGAGGTGGACCCAGATGAGGAGAGCTGCATACCTCGTTGAGAGTACAGAGCTTGATCTTCAGTTCTTCCATCACGCGCCAATCGTAAGACCGTGACAGGTTGAAGTCTTTGTATGGGAAGTCGACTTTCGTAAGTAGATGGTGTAGGAACTCTGTTATGCAATCGCCACCGAAGTTCAAGTACATCCTACATACAATCGTGAGCTCGCGGTGCATTGTCAAAGATTCTGCGATGCGCGGATATCTTGCCTCGTCTCAGGTACGACCATGCCGTCTTCTACACATGCGATGCTGACGCTGGTCGCTCCGATGTTGGCAACACAAGCGGTGGACAGTCCCGCTCCGTATGTAGCTGCGAGCGCATCCTATCCTTCTATGAGCACGACACGTCAAAAGGCGATGCAAGCTGTTTACCTGCTGCGCGCACATCTGCTTAAAGCCCATAGTGACCATGAGTAGATGTGCGAACTCTTGCAGGTACGACCTCTCGTAAAAGTTGGGGACGATCAAGATGACTGAATAGTCCTATGCAGCGTCAATGAACAGTTTCTCCTACGTAGTGAGGCGCCGACCTTGAAGTCCCTCCGTTCAATCCCAAGTTTCTCACTCAATGTCGTAGCGATGATCGTATCCAAGTCATCAGAGATCACCCTCTTATCCGGGTAATCTCTCGTATTGAACCTATTCCCAAAGATCGGCCATCGTAGAGTGAACCCCATCTTCTGCGGGTCCGCCAGCCTCAACGCGTCTTCGCCGACTAAGAAGTTCTTCCCTTCGGGGACTTCGTGGATGAAGTCAATGTGAAATGGGTCATTCTCGTCAGGTATAATCTCAGGTTGAGATTGTGCGTTGAAGGCCGAGGCTTTAGCGGATGCGTCGGGCGTTATGCGCAGCTTGTAGAACTCCATTCTGCCACGGAGTATGCCGTGCATGACATTCATTACGTCTTCATGATTATATTCCTATCAATACGGGTCAGATTGGAAGGGCCGTCCAGATATAATAACATACTGGTTCTAACCCCTGCGCCGCGCGGTCAGTGCCATCCACATCGGTCGAAGATGCGCCAGGGCGCTTGAGAGTTTCGTGGTATTGCGGCGGAGGTACTGGAGGTACTGTGCGTCGCGCGATGCAGTTTGAGACCGACACGGGGTTGATATCTGATGCGCGCCCAATGCGCAAGTTGCGAGAGCCAGGGTCGATGACTATGACTTTCGATCCTTTTCTACCCTTGACTTGTATCAGCAAGAGGCGCATGCATATCATGGGTTGAGACGTACCTCTTCACGAGGAGGGGGCGCAGATAGTCGTTGTTGCATGGAGTTCCGAGCCCATATTGTCTGCGTTTCAGAACGCAAGTACGAGCTGCCCTGATGTTTGGGATTCAAGCTGTGGCGCATGTCTGTATAAGCCATCATGTTCATAGCTTTATCTCATAGAGCAGCAGATACTGACGGCAAAGGTACATTGAATAGAGAGTGTTTCAACCCCACACTCTCATCGCGCTTGACGTTGGGTATACCGCGCGGCATCTTGACGGCTGAATAAACCGACTATATGACCGAAGGCGAGCACAAAGCTAGAGATACAGCAGGGTTTGAGAGCAGAAGGTCCGATGGAGAGGAATAGAGTAGATTCACAATAGTTGCGATATACAAATAGAACACAGAGCGAAAGCAGTAGCCCGGTGGTTCGAGACAAGACGCGTCGAATTGGCCGCCGCTGCCGGCGCGTCGCGCGCGTTTGAAGCGCGGTGGTCCTTGTTTGCTCTTGCGCCCATGAGCACCCACCAGGCGTAACGTCATCTGAACGTTCATTCAATATTTGTGCCCATGCTACTCGAATTGTGTCTACTCATGACGATAGAGCCTGAGGTAGTATGCGATTGCGCCAGAGCTCATGTGAGCATGTGGTATATGACTTGAGTATCCCTGGACTTTATGCGGGATCGCTTCTTTCCCCGCAGGGCTAGAGATAGCCCCGAGCGGAAGCCCGTATGTAACCGGGCCACCAGTACTTATAAGAGAACACCCTATCTGCTCTATCTACGGTACTCACAATCATGGATCTCCCCCCTCAGCCCGCCTATCTGCCGACACCAGGCAGCATCCTCCGCCCCGACCCTGACCTCTATGCCCGTATCGCCAAAGCACCCCGCACCCCGCTAAGCTCGCACATCATCCCTCCACGATCAGGCTTTGCCTGGAACGCTCCCGCTGGCTCCATAATCCGCCTGAGTACGCCCGAAGGCCCACAAGTCGGCGATCTCAACATCTGGTCCGCATCAAATCCGCAAGAGCGCTTCTGGGCGTCTCGAACGCGCCAGCTGCATGCAACGCATGTGAGCACTGGTGATCGGCTCTGGAGCTGTCTTCCCTATTTGAGACCACTTTGCACTATCGTGGACGATACCCTCGGGAGGGAGGGGAAGGGAAGGTGGGGAGATGGGAAGGGGAGAAGCCAGTGGGGTGGAAGGTGCCATGATCTCCTTGGGACACGGTGTGATCCGTACGGTAAGCGCCAACATCCTATGCATGCATCAGCGCACTGAATAGTCTATAGTCAACAAGATGCTCACCGGTCGCACATATAATCATCACTGTCACTCAAACCTCACACGCGCGATCCAGCCTTTCGGCCTACAAGAGTCGGATGTGCATGACGTGCTGAACGTCTTCCAGGTGACGTCGCTCGACACCGAAGGTCGCTACTGCATGGAGAGTTGTCCATCTACACCCGATGACTACATCGAGTTCTTCGCCGAGACGGACTTGCTGTGCGCATTGAGCACTTGTCCGGGTGGCGATCTTAGCCGCTGGGGGTGGATCGGCGCAAAGGACGGCGAAGAGGTGACGGAGGAGGATGTCATGAAGGAGACATGTCGTCCTATCAATGTCGAGGTGTATTCGGTCGACAAGGCAGCTCTGGAAGGCTGGGAGGAGTCAAAGGTTAGCGACTACGCCGGGAAGCATGGCCTGTAATGGTGGCAAGTGACCGTCGTAGGCATCAAATCAATTTATCAAAGAGCCTGTAGACAACCTGGGAAAGCATGTAACGACATCAGTTGTTGTGTCTTGTTTGTCCCAAGTTCAACTTTTGCCGCGTGCGCAATATCGGTTGCTTCCTGCGCTCACTCACGTCCCCGTCTCCAAGTCTCCTTGCCCTCACGACTCGGTCCGAGTGACGACGAACCGTCGACGCCCGTCCTCTCTCATTACAACCACGCTCTTTATACGAATACTTTCTGATACACAATGGGCTTCATCAAACGATTCCTCTCCCTCGGCAGCCGCAAGGGCAAGAAGCAACGCAACCAGCTCACCAGCGCTTCTACGCCTGGTCTCAATGACTTCCCACCCACCTCTCGCAATGACAGGCGCAAGGAAGAGCGCGAGCAGGAGGATGCTGCACGGCGCTTATTGCGCTCGTCCTCCGCCCACTTTACCGTCGTCTCTGAGGTGGACTTTACGTCTTTGCCTCCGATGCGTGAGTTCACTCTTCACTCACGTGCTAGAAATATCTAAACCTTTTTATAGCCCACCCTATCGATAGCCTGAGCCCTATGCCAACAGGCGCTTCGGTCTACAGTCTCACGCCCTCGGCCTCACCATCACGTTCGACTGTCCAATCCCGTGGTCGCACCTACTCGGTCAAGATTCTCGGCCGCGAAGTCCACACTCGCTCGACCACTACCGAGTCGAATGTTCAGACTCCCTCGCGTAGCAGCAGCGGCTCCCGCGCAGAGACGCACCCGGCCATCACCCCTCACGACGAGAAGCGCATCCACCGTCTTCGTCAAGACCCTTCCGTTGCGAGTCTCTTGGACATGTACGACACGCATGGACAGCTCGATGCTGCAGCCTTCTCCAACTCTCCCGAGAAGCGCTCTTCTGCTTCCGCTGCTTCTACTTCCGTTCAAGAGAAACGCATGAGCAGGCAGGAGAAGCGCATGAGCAGGCAGCAACGTGCTGCGCAGGAGATCGACCAGGTTGGGAGGGCGCAAGTACAACGGAGTGGATCAACGCTCAGGCAGTTGCTTGGGAGTCCTGAGCCTGAGTATGGTGATCATGAGCGTACCAGCTCTAACGAGGGCGATATCTCGTGGGCCGAACGTTTCCTTGGGTATGCGATGTGATTACTGGTGATCTCATGTACGATTACTCACTCTGTTTGCAGGGAGCGTGGCTCTGACAACGACTCGTCTCCTTCGGACGTCGACTCGCCCATGATTGTGACGCCCAAGGACGCCACTTTCACCCTCCCGGCAGACCTCACCAAGGAAGTCGGCAATGTCACTCAAGCCAACATGACACTTTCGACGGAGGCCAACACTACAGTCAACAACTCGGCCGTTAACTCGCTAGAAGTCGAGTACAGCCAGACTAGCGACCAAGTCAAGACCGAGCTTGGACTTCCCGTGCGCCCTACTACGCCCGCGACGCCTGCACGTCCCGCGGCCGAGGTCTTCGGATTCTTACTCGAGCGTCGCAAGAGCAAGAGTTCGAATGCGACACTATTGCACGCCACCCAAGATCAGGAGGACCACCCGCTGCCTCCCCTTCCCACGGGCAGCTCGGCGTGGACGGCCAGGACTGAGAAGCTCACTCTGCCCGAGCAGCCCAGCCCGACCCATTCGCAGGCCAACACCTCGCTCTCAACCGACGCACCGTCCTCAGCAGGTTCGATCCTTGAAGACCCTCCTACCCGCGCCATGATCATTACCCAAGCCCGCGCACCGACGCCCGTACTTCTCCAACAGCAGCAGCGCGCGGTCGAAGTCCGTCAAAGCCGCATACCGCGTGGTCCGCGCGCACAGGCTGGTCACAACAGGAACCGCAGCTCGGTTAGTCTAGCTGCCCCTGAGCTCGACACGCACAGCACGGGCGCAAGCACATCGACGACGCAGAGCTTCGTCACGGCTCAGAGTTCGCACTCCATTCAACCGCCCCCGGCTCCCGCTACGGAGTCCAAGCCTCGCGTGTCGGACGAGTTCAAGACGCCCGTCAAGTCTACGCGTATCCCCGTCGGCCCGCGTGAGGCTCTCCGCTCAGGTGCCGCCAACGCTCAGACACCGCGCGCGTCCGAGCAGCCTCTGAAGATGCCTTTCGGCCTTGCGCAGAATCAGGGTCACCCCAAGACGCCCAAGGCGCCTATTGGGCTTGGCCTGGGTCATGGTCAGCCTGTCGATCCCGACGCGTACACACCCGTCCCGGCTCGTCGCGGGAACCGGGAGCGCCGCATCGCGTCTGCAGCGTCCGCGAGGAGCGTCGAGTCAACGCAGAGCGGTGTCGGCAAGCGCTCGCGCATTCCGAGGAAGAGCAAGGAGAACGCGCTCGACCTCGCCTCTGCCCCTGTCACCGAGGAGAAGAAGCGCCCCAGGACGCCGGACGCTGCCACATTGTTCGCCAGTGCTGGGTCTGTTGATCCCGACAGGAGTGCCGACCTTTCGCCGGTAGCGCAGAGGATGATGGCTGACCTGCGCGAGAGGAGGAAGCCGATGAGGGCGGCGGGGCAGATGGCTGAGGTCCTCACCGCTGAGCTGCGCAGGTGAGCACTCAGCCTGGCCTCCATCTCTGAGCTCTTCATGAGCTCTATTCCCTCCATGGATACGAATGAACGTTGACAAACGATTGAACTGACTTACATACTGCGATACCTCTTTCAGCACCACGACACGATGTTGAATGCCTCCACCTACGATTATCCTCCTTGTTATCCCGCCGCGATCCCTCCTTTCCTCATATCTCCCGCTATCCTCTCCTCTCCACCTCGCTTTTCATACCGCTCTCGAAATCCCTATGAAATCTACATATGCTCTCCCAACCCGCTTCCCTCTCGCACGTCCTGTTAACGCTCTTTTCTCTAGCTCGATGCTCTTACTCTCAGTTCACTTTCCAGTTATGTTTTGGGGTTGACTTGTTTTCTTGTTTGGCCGTCGCTCGCCTGTGGCGATCGTGTACTTAGCACTTAGTTTTGCTGTGTACATGTTTTGGCAGGCTGGAGCCGGGCTTTCGTTGAATCTACATACATGCACCATTTACTATGAAGTCCTACGGGTATATATGGGTACTCGTGAGATGGTTCGGGGTCAGTACTGTGTAGCCGACGTCGTCATTGAAGTCGACATCGGACCGGACGGCGATGTGGTCGTGGCACATCGCGTGGCACTCGGGGTACTGATTCAGTAACTGTTCGAACACATCTTTTCGCTTTTCAAGCACGCCCGTAGCCTGCTCGACGACTCAACGAGCATCGCCAGCCGTGCGATCTCCGTCGACCAAATAAGACGCCTATCTGTCGGACAACCTGGCGGCAACACGCCTGAGCCACGCTTTGTCATCTGCTTCCGGCGGGTCCGCCGTGCCGCACCCGCACAGTCCGTCGTCCAATCTGAGTCGAACTCCTCGCACTCCTCCGTCGTCCACCACCACCTCCTTCCCCTCCAATTCCCTCCAGCGTCGGACACCTGCCACACCACGTGCACCGTCGTTCTTTGACAACGTTGCCATTTCGGTCGAGGAGGACTACGAGATGAAGGACTATGCGGGCACCGAGGCGCGCGATGCGAATGAGGATACTAGGTCGGAGAGGAGCGCGTTGTTAGGCCCTTCCCCGTCGGATTCGGGCGTCGAGAGCGTAAAGAAGAGGGATGGGCATGCGACGCTTACCAGCAGCGTTAGCAACCTCGCAAATACTATCATTGGTTCTGGTACGCGCCACACACCGTACCTACTTCCCGAGCGTATCTGATAGTCTGTACAGGCATGTTGACATTCCCGAGAGCACTTGCATCGGCCGGCATCATACCCGGTATAATAACTTGCCTGTTTAGTGGTGGGGTAGCCGCTTTCGGATTGCACCTTCTGAGCATCTGCGCACGACATGCACCGCACCGACGTGCGAGCTTCTTTGCCGTTGCGGAACTCACATTCCCGCGCGCGGCCGTCTTCTTTGACGCCGCCATCGCGATCAAGTGCTTTGGCGTGTCCATCAGGTATGTCTATGTGCTGGCTTTGAGTGGTAACAGACAGTGTGCTGATGAGTGGCGACGACAGCTACTTGATTATTATCAAGAGCTTGGTACCCAGTGTGGTGCAAAGTCTATACCACGATATCGGACATGGCGCTGTGCCTCCCGAATGGACGCTTAATGGACGGATATGGATCACGCTGCTCATGTTCATCCTGGTACCGCTATGCTTCATGCGCCACTTGCACTCGTTGAGGCATACGAGCTATGTCGCCCTCTTTTCCGTCGGTGCGTACCTTCCAGCTACATACGAGACTTCGGTACATGTGCTCATGTGTGTATAGCGTATCTGGTGCTCATTGTCATTGTGGTGTACTTCCACCCGCTTGAGAACATGCCGCCGCGTGGAGATGTATACCTCGCGCACTGGTCGACGGACTTCATCTCCACATTCCCAGTTCAAGTATTCGCCTTCACCTGCGCGCAGAACGTACGTCTCGCTCGTCCGATATATTCTATCTACTCGCCATGCTCATCTTACTTCCAGCTCTTCCCGATATTTAACGAAGTTCAAACCAACTCACAAGCGCGCATGAACACGATCGTGGGCAGTGCTATCGGCTCTGCGACCATCACCTACGAAGTCATAGCCGTATTTGGATACCTGACATTCGGCAGCAACGTCGGTGCTAATATCATTGCGATGTACCCCTCCACATCTCTCTTCGTCGCTGTCGGTCAGCTCGCCATCGCCATCCTCGTTCTGTTCTCCTACCCCCTACAAGTCCACCCATGCCGCAACTGCCTAGACAAGGTCTTCAGCTTTGGCTCATCCGTTGAGAAGGGCAAGCTCGCGAGCGCACAGGACGACGAGGACGAGGATGACGAGAGTGTCACAGATGCGGACCATTCGGGCGGGGAGATGAGCGTCGCGAAGCATACGGCCCTGACATCTCTGATTGTCGCGGGCGGTTTCACCATCGCGTACTTCGTGGACAACCTCGAGATGGTTCTATCGTTTGTCGGCGCGACGGGAAGCACGACCATCTCGTTCATTCTGCCGGGTCTGTTTTACTGGCAGATGCACCGTGGGGATCCGACGGCTAGTAAGGGGATGACGAGGGCTGCGCTTGCACTTGCGTGCTATGGCGGGTGTATCCTCGTGTTTTGGTGCGTCTATCGTGTTATCGTTTATGTGAGGAAGATTCTGACGGACAGTACAGCTTGAGCTTCAATATTTATAAGATCGCGAGCGGGTCAGGGCCTGCTGGACATTGAGATAGATGTCATATTTATTGAATGCATATGGATGATATCAACATCACAAGATTAGTTCTTGAGATCTTGCGAAAGCCGCAGGCAAAACAAGTACAAAAGGGTATCAGTCGACTTCGTCTACGCCGTGCCCGGTCACCAGGTGAGCCGCGCCTCTGGCCTCAGGGGGCAACCGCGACCGGTAGAAATGCTCAACCTTGAGGCCCTCTACCTCCGACAGCTGGCGAAGCCACTTCAGCATTCGCCTCGGCGCATCTTCCTGCGCCTTCCTATTTTTCCAATAAAACAACATCCCGAAGGGTTTCCTACTCGCCCGTTCCCGGATCCAGCCGAGCGCCTGACCCAGATTGTCCTCATTCCTGTCAAAAAACTTGTTCTCCGCATCCCAGATGATCAGCCAACGGAGCGCAGGGAGAAAGCCGCCTGCGTCCCGCGCCGCCCACGTTAGTTTGTCGCGGGGGAGCGCCAGAGCCTCGCAGAAGAACATGAAGTCCTTGTGTGTTATCCGCACGCTCTCAAGGAGAATGCTCTTTCCGAAGTACTCGTCCCAACCGTTTGCGTGCCGGTATGTGAGGTTGTGCCTATAGGGCATCTCGAGCGACAGGTAACGTAGACCTTTCACTCCTAACGCCTGGCACCATTCCATGATAGGGGTTACCACGGCCCATGCTTCATGGGAATCTGCATACTCCTTGTGACGATCGTAATCCACCTTCGGCTCTAGCGCGAGCCTCACTCCTGGCGGTGTCACGTACCACGAGGGGTCGTTGGGGTAACTAGCTCCGTGTCCGACTTCAATACTCATGGTACCGTGCACCCTGAGCCAATCGAACGGTCGCTTTGGCGCGTCGAACTTATAAGGGACATACTTGTGAAAACCGTCGAAACAGAGTTGAACGGACGCGTCCGTGGGAATCTGGAGCGCTTGCCATAACTGCCAGACGAGGAACAGGCTCCCCGCTAAGAAGAGACGACGGAGACGCGGGACTCGGACTTTGCGGTCGCGACCCTTTGCGTCTCGACTCCAGGCGATATTGGTGTTTTCGCGGCCGGAGAAGTTCAGGACTTCGAGCAGAGGATTCGATTCGATCAAGTCGAGGAGGCTGGTGTACGCGCCTTTGGCGCCGCTTGTGTATCCCTGCACGCTCAGCGTCCGCAGTTGAGTGCAGTTCACGATAGATATGCTTGGCAGGGGCCAGCGTAAGAGGTTGAGATGTTGGAGGTTTGGCGCATGAGCGAGGTCGAGGTCGAAGTCAGCTCCCGTTGCCGACTCGTACGCGCGTCGGTAGCTTGAGGGACCCCGCGCAGCGACCTGTACGAGCGCTTCGATGCGCCTGGCATTGGCGTGCAGAAAGTCTTGGTGTTCGTCCAGCGCGTCCGGAGTGAACAGGATACGCAGACGAGGGTAGTCCCGAGCGCGCTCGACGTATCTAGCCACCCAATCTCTATTACCATAGAGAGGGATCGTAGTCCAGAGCCATGCATCTCCGAGAGCGGCGGCGCGCCACTCGCGGCATACAGTGGTCACCGCGAGCCAGCTCAAGCAGCTTTCTAGGGTAAATATCGAGTGGTCGCCGAGTAGGGTGAAGTCCGCGGCGTCGCGGAGCTCGTGGAAGATGAGGGCGAGGATCTCTTCAGGAAGCTTGGAGATGGCCGGAACACGGGCAGCCTCGGACTGGGGCTTCTCGTCGAGACCAAGTCGTTCGCTGAGACTCGAGAGGTGGCGAGAGAGCGATGTGCGGAAGTCGGAGTCCTCGCGTCCGATCTCCTGGTAGCCCGCATGGGATCGACCCTGCCCGAGGGATACGCCTGTCTTTTCCAGAACTGAAGCACCGAGGTTGTGGAGAGACATCTGCATGAGCTGACGTTCGAGCATCGTGGACGTCGTGCCTGTCATGTCGGTGGGGTAGGAAGCGCTGAGAGAAGCAATGGGCAAGAAGAAAGCGATGAATGAAAGGTAGGTCGGTGTGGCGATGATATACATCGTTATATGGCCATCGTCGAACAAAAGTGACGATTAGATCCCGCCTTGCCAGACCACGACGCGCGCAGCATAGGCCGACGGCCATCACTCATCCCCGACGAAGGTCAAAGCATCGCCCGCGATCTCGCACAAATATCATTGTCCTGTCTCACCCGTCTTATCCTATCGAAGGCAAGGACGCCGTGACTCGCATGACCGACATGATGACCATTGTTCTCGAAAGAAGCGGATACATATCGCAGTGTACTACGTTCAGCCGCACACATGGCCCGGAATGCAAAGCGTATATGTCGACGTATGAGCCCATTCGGTGGCCGTCGCCGTCGCCGTTCCGGGAGTCGTGATATCCGAGAAATAGGTGTACGTCTGCGTCACGAGTGAGCGTCAAAACCAATACGATAGGCAAAGAACACGCACCTCAGTCTCGGTCCCAGTGCAGATCCAAGAGTAGATGATGGTGAGATCGCGCTCTGAGAGCTCTGCGCGCTTGGCCTCGGGCGCGGGAGTGATCTCCGGGGCGAGCGCCGCGTTGGCCGGGTACCTGCTCACGGTGGTCGTTCCCGGGTTAGTGGTCGTCACGGTCGTAGTTGTCGCCGCGACAGTGTGCGGCACTGTCGTCTTAATGAGGCTTTGGCATTCTCCGTACGTCTGGAAGACGGCTATGCATGACGGTCAGTGAAGTGGCATAGCGTGTCGATAAGAAAGTATCGTACTGGATACAGAGCGCGGAGCAATGGCAGCGCTGGCTACCGCGGCGAGAGACGCAGAAGTGATTAACGTGAAAGCGCGCATGGCGGCCAACGACGGGTTTGCCAAGAGACCACTTCGAGAAGGGAACCTGCGCGCATTTCTTATACTTTCGCCGCCGGCTGAGCTTCGGCTGTCCATGTGTGTACGCCTCAACATCGGATCGTATGACTGAATATTGCTGTAAAGTGAACAGCGTGGGCAGGTCGATCCATCAGTCGAGCACGAGGAAAGCCATCAGGGTGACGGGGCGGTCCCAAATTCCTCGGAAAGGCGAGAAGCACGAATCAACTCGTCCATTCATACGGTCACCGAGGACGAGCATTTCTGGAGGATCGCGCAAGGCTGTGACGCCACCTGAGACTGGAGGGTTGCATATGACAAGGGCAATGCGATTGAGCAGGCCCATCCAGTACCGAGAGATGGCCGGTCGGCGCTAAGGTTCGAACATGAGGTTCAGCCTGATCAACCTGTAGTACACCTCGCCGACTTGACAAGGAATCCATGCGTCTGTTGACTACATAGATTATCTTGCGAATGCTTAACGCCGACGACGCGGCTAGAATTGACGCACAGTTATTCAAATCTTACCAGTCACGTCATGACCAGCTAATCAAAAGTCATGTTCGCCCGGATCACCCTCGAGGATCGCTTCAAAGTAGGGTTGGGCACTTTCCGATTGACGGCGAACTTTGGCTGATAGGACGTCGCGGTTGAAGACAAGTTTATGTGCAGCTTACCGGGTTCGTTGATTGTGACTCTGCCCGCGTAACGCGCTAAAGTCACACTATCACAGCCGGGCCGGCCGGCCGGACACCCCGGGCCCACATGCGTGGGTCAGTGGGTTTGTGTGTTCCTTTCATGTCCGTCCAGGAGGTCGAGTACTTATGACCTTTGCCAAAGGGATACGCACATACTAGTTTCGTCACCTAAGGTCATCTAAGCCACGAGGACACTCGTACACCACAGCTGCTGCGACACTCCTGAATTGCTAAGCGCCACACTGGCAGGTGCCGAATCAAAAGCTTCGATGGTCAATCGAGTAGATGCATTGGCATGGAGGCATGGAAAGTCGCGACATTGGTGAGTAGAGACAGCTAACAGCATATTACATAGTCCATCAGAGTATACAAAAGAATTTCCTAGGTCAGAAGCGGCACAATAAGTGTAGGAATAGCCGATTTGCGAGATAAGGTGTACCACGCAGCGCGCCACGCCCGGGGAATCGCCATGATCAACTGCACGATAGTGGGGATATGCCAGTCGCTGGGCATATTGAAGAACTCCCAGTAGCATCTCGTGACTGGGCGGCGCAAGGTCACTGATGAGAGCGAAGAGCTGATATTCTCGAAGCGAGCGACGACTTCGTCCATAGTCGGACGTTCAGCGGGATCGTCCTTCGTCATGTCCGCGACGAGCTTCTTCATGAAGCCGAATCCAGTATAGCCCTATTCAAACATGTCTTAGTCACCGGTGGTGAGCGGGACTGCGTAGAGGAGCAGACAGACCTCGATGAACTCGACCTGGATGAGGTTGCCGAGGTACCAGACGTCGGTCGGGAACGGGTTATACAATGTATTGGCGATCACACGCTCCTTGCTCAACTCGGGAGGACGCTGCGTATATCTTACGGTACTGTGACCAAGGGCACCGCTACGGGGACTAACCAAGGCCGCAGCCTTATCGTCGCACTTGATAGCGAGTGCAAAGTCGATGAAACGGTACCGGACCGGACGCTCCGTGCGCGTGAAGTGCTTGGCCTTTCCGTCCCAAGCCACAGTGCGGTCGATATCGAGCGGATGGAAACCGTCGGGATACATGGGCGTCGCATCGTACATGATGTTGTGATACGTGCAATCGCTGTACCAGCGTATCGTGTTAGCGAATGTAGGCTCGAGAGATGACGGCCAGCTCGACTACATACCCGTGCGCAATGTTATGCTCGTGCATGAATTGCATGCCCTGGAACGAGAGCGATGAGTGTGTTGAAAGTACTAGTCAAACATCGTTGCTACGAGACATACCTCGAAGATTTGCCTAACGAATTCGATGGCTTCACCGACGGTATCGAATCCCGGACTATGCCAGGGACGCAGAAGGGGCATGACCAGCGCCTTCTGCCCACTATTAGGCAACGCAAACACGTCCACGAGTGGCGCGGTGTGATTCCGCGGGTCCATGAGGGCGTCGGAAGACAGGTACTTCAGGATCTCCTGTTGAGCAAGGGAGCCGCCGTCGTCTTTGATGACCTTGATAAAGACCCGGCATCCATCCGAGACGCGTGTGGCGTCAATGACGAGTTTGCCAGTCTGCCATGGATGGGTCGTCAATATGAGTGTGCGTACGCCACGAAATCAGCGCTCACCATGTTCTCCTGGCAATCTTCCGTCTCCGCATGTGCGCGCTGTGACGGGACCTGCCAGTCATAGCGGTAACGCGGACGTAACTCGTAACCCGCGCGATGCTTCAACCACGGCTGATAGTGTCGCCATCGAAGCTCGGTACCGTTGAGAGCATTCGTATTCACGCTCTTCGCTCGCCAGACTTCTGCGGTGTCCTCACCGGAGGGCGGAGGTGTTGTCTCCACCAAACGCACGAGGTCGAGTTCTCTGGAGGTGGGCATGGCTGTAGTCGCGGAATGAGAGAGAGAGAGAGAGAGAGCACAGTAGGCGTCTGCCACGGCGAGGCCTTTTGTAAGCTTTCACATACGGGGCCAAATGGCCGTGGTGGGGCTTCACGAGTATCTCGGGCAAGGCGACTGCCGAGGATGGCCAGAGGCGTGCTGATCGACGTAAACCTGTCAGTGAGTATAGTATCAAGTTCCACAGCTTACGGCCTGGGAGGGCCGTGGGTTGGATTCGCGAGTTGCACATTCGCAGAGGTTGTCGTGGGCTGTTTGAAAGCGCTTGCGGCGATTGCCGTCTACACGATGTCCAGCGAAGGTCCAACAGAAATCCTGAACAGGCTGTATCGTAGTTCGCGATACATCCCTGACGCCTTCACGATCGAGCATGTTGGCCGCGGTCGCAGCTGCCTCTTAACGGGCCGGCGCAGATTCTACGAGCATGACGTTCAACACGGTGCATACGAGGGTGAAGGTTTCCTGGGCGCTAGCGCAGATGGCGACAAGACGGATCCGGCATAAGGAGCTCGGCGGGTGAATGTGCATCTAGATGCATCCAAAGTTGGGACTCGCATTCGGTGGCGCCATGCCCTTGAACAGCGCTCACGGTGTGGATAGCGCCTCGGCCACGACAAGCGCTGTCGACGTCCCTACGGGCCATGGGTGCGTGTTTACAGGGCCGACGCGTTCTGCGAGTACAACGATCGACTTCCTGATGTCGAGTCTCGGCGTCGCGAGGTGCAGGAACAGTGTGTATTGAGCTCCTTTCAAGGACAAGCTCGTACTTGAGGACGTCCAAGTAAAATTGCAACCTGTCGTGTATCGCATCTGTCACGTTCAGAGACCGGACGCACAAGACCAAAGTCTCGACAGTCAGTTGACAATGTCGGATTCGGGCTGTTCGGCACGCACGTATTGTCCGAAGCAGTCTTCTCGCCTCTTGCAGCACCTGGTGGGAGTATGGCGATTCCCAACCAGAGTCAGAGTGAGATCGCGCTGGCAAGTCGGGCCCAGCGCGATGCTCAAGCCAGCCAACGCCGCTCGATGGCGCTCAGCAGGGTGCTGTAAATGGACGGCGGAAGGGTCTTCCCCAGGTCTTCCCGGCTGGCAGGATAAGTTCAAACCCAGTGGACATGGCGGATTCGCAGGTGAAGGTTTCTTGGGCGCTTGAGACGCTCATAGGGCCATCAGCCGTGATGGCGAGCGCGCGTTTTGCCAGTTCATTAGCACGGATGACGACAGGATAGATCTGGCATAACGAGCGCGGGCGGTTGTATGGGCGTCTAGATGCGACCGAAGCCAACGACGAAGGGGCTCGGACCGCACAACAGCGCTCAGAAAGTCCCTAGACAGCAGCGCCTCTGTCATGACAGGCGCTGTCGGCGTCGCTACGATGATAGACAGCCACAGGCATAGGCGCCGTGCATCGGGCCGCGGCTGTGACGTACTGCCTGCAGTCGACGGCGAACTCGAAGAAGAAGCGGTGAAGTTTGCATTTCACAAAAGGCAGTGCCCGGTACTATAGCAGCAGACTGTAGACGGTACATGGAGACGATACGGGGAATGTGGATGTGATGTGGGAGATGGGTGTCGGAAGGGAAGAGGAGATGTGGGAAATGAATGGGCGCTTGTGTCGCTTGTTATTGGGCGGACCGAGCGCTGCTGCTCTTGACCTCGAACACCATCATCTCCCGCCTCCCTCTATCTCGCGCGCCCTTGGCTTTGCGCGTCACGCTCTCAGAAGCAGATCAAGACGGAGAGCAGATAAAATACAGCGAAATTCGGACGTGGGATGTCGCTAGGTGCGGACGAATATCCCGAGCCGCCTTTTCGTCCGCGTGCTCATACATCCGCTCCTATTCCTGCCCAGCCATGCCCGTGCTCGTTCGGGCCCAGTCGCCAGAGATGAAGGGCGTGACGATGCTCTCGCACTCTGCCGAGCCGTTTGTCGCCGCCGCCACGCTGCCGCTCGCACAGCCGCCCGCCAGTCCTCCCTCGTCGTCCGCAGCAGGAGCGGAAGCGGGAGGGAACGAGGACGAGCCGGACGGAGCGCTGATCGAGGCGTTGAAGAGCAAGGACCGATTATTTGTGCTGCGTGTGGGCGAGGTGCTCGAGCAGCTGATCAACGACCGCCGGTCAGTGTATATTGCTCTCCCTCGGCCTCGGCTTATTAACGAATATATACAGGACGCGAACAGAAGTGCACACGAGCTCGTCCTACCAGCGCCTGCTCGTCCACCGATGCGCGGCCTACTACAAAGTCACGCCCGACACGGAGACGGCGTCCAAGAACGCGATCGCACTCGTCCTCACCATCGACAGCCGCGTCCCGCCCCGCAAGATCGCTCTCCTCGTCCCCAACGACGCTCCCCCCGCCCCCGCTTTCAAAATCATGCCCAGAAAGGCAACCGCCGGCCGCGCACAGCCGTCCGGCGCCGGCGCGGACGGCCCGCAGAAGAAGCCGACGCTCGAGGAGCGCGAGGCGGCGTACAACGAGGCCAGGACGCGGATATTCCACACGTTCGAGGAGAAGGAGCGCGAGCGGCAGCGGCTTGAAGAAGCCGCGAGCTCGTCGTCGACGACGCCCAGCTTGTTACTTTCCGGCTCGTCGGCGTCGGCCAGCACGAGCAACTCGGTCGCCGGATCGTCCCTCGGCGACACCACGGACGACGGCGCCAGCACCGCCGCGACCGAGTCGGAGTGGTCCGCGCCCGCCGCGCCGCCATCGCTCAAGACGAGCAACTCGGGCAGCACGCGCAAGGGCACCATCCGCTCGCCGCGCGCATCACGTGCTGCCTCGCCCAGCTACCCCTCGCTGTACGAGCCCGTCGCGCCCGCACAACAACAACCTCAAGAATACCCGGTACAGGGCCCTGGGCCGTATCCGCCGCCCGGGCCGTACTCCCCGCACCCAGCGCCATACGGCGCGTACGGGTACCCCGCGTTCTACGGCCAGCCCGCGCCCCCTCCGCCCCAAGCGCCCGACGGCCAGCCATACTACCCGAGCCCGTACCTCTGGCAGCCCGCGCCGGGCGCACCGCCCGCGCAGTACCCCTACGCACCTCCTCCTCCCCCTCCTGGCTACGGATACCCGTACTACCCGCCGCCGCCCCCGCCGACGATGCCCCCGCCGCAGATGTACTTCGATCCGGG